GCGGGGGCGGCGGGGCCGGCGGCCGAGGCGGCGGCTGCTGCTGCTGCTGCCGGAGGCTCAGCCTCCCAAAGGATTCAAGAAAACTCTCCTCCATTGGGTGGGGGCTGGTCGCAAGAGCCCTGGGTTCCCTTTCCTGGAGCCAGGGTCCTGGCCAAAGCTGTTGTTTTTGTGGCTCTCCGGCCATGTGATAGATGGAGGGGCGGGCGCTCGGAGCCCAGCCCCTCCTTCCCACCCGCCCGATCCGCGCTGCGTGGGAGGGGGCGTCCCTACCTGGAAAGCTGGGGACTATGGGAGACTGACAGCCGGGAAACCTTGGTGACGCGACCCCTGCTCTCCGCCCTACTCCCTGGCCTCCCTTCGCCCTGAGGGGAGAGGACTGGCCCACCGGGACACTGGACATTTCTCCCGGCTGCCCGCTTGGAAGGCAGGCCCGCCGCAAAAGCCTTCCCTCACCCCACCGCCCACTGGCCTAGACCTTGAAAGTGAAATAGTTTCAGTTGACGATAAAAGAATGTGAACAGCATTTTGAATAGTAACAGTAAAGGCTCATTGTCTCCCCCAGTTTGTGAGCATCAATCTCTGGCTGGTGTCCCAACGGCTACCACCACTCTCCCAGGGCCTGTATCTTTTCTTTTTTTTAAATCTTTATCGGCCTGCCAAAAATATTCTTAGAAAGCTTTGTTGCCTCTACATAACTTTAAATCTCTTCTTCTTCAGAAAAAAATCACCCCTTAAAACTAATCTTGATTTATGCACAGCAGCATAAACTAGGCCTCCTGAGAAGGGCGGGCTACTCCCCAAGTTCATATTCTGCTGCCACCTGAAAAGACATGGTCTCTTCGGGAACTACTTGAGCCCCCCAGGGAAAGAAGCAGCCTTCTGATAGTATAGATAAGTACCTAGAATTAAATTCTAAGTTCCAGGAACTGGTGAGTGCCAGTTGGTTATCACCATAATACTCTCCAATATTTCACACTCAAGAGTGTGATAGAGTGATCCTATTTTGTAAACTAAAATTTAAATTTAATTTAAAATTTTTAAATTAAATTAAAGCAATTTCCTTCTAAAATGAAATCTAGAGATTTCACGACGAGCTTTGGGAGGGGCTCTCCAAGTAGGGAGGGGCTCTGTGCTAATAATTTTACTTCCTCTTAGGATTAGGGGTGGGGACGAGTGGGCACGGAGATGAGCTGCTTTCTCTTGAAAATCTCTTCGTAGCATTGCAGGAAGGATTCACAGAATACTGAGAAGCACTGGAATTTCAAAAGCTTCTCTAAATATTAGGGGAAACCATAGACAATGGAGAATATACATATATCATAAAATAATGATGCTTATAATGTATGTATCCTATCATACTTCTTACAAGAACATTCTTGCCCAGCCTCAAATACTACTTTTTTCAATCTAGACCTGCACTGTCTAATACAGAAGCCACTAGCCACATGTGGCTACTGAGCACTTGAAATGTGGCTGGTCCAAACTGAGATTAAAATACACACTGAATTTTGAAGGTTTGGTATGAAAAAAAAAGTGTGTAAAATATCTCAATCATTTTTATATTGATTACATGTTGAAGTGATAATATGTTGAGTGTATTGGGTTCATATATTACTAAAATTAATTTCACCTGCTTCTTTTTGCTTTTTTAATGTGGCTATTAGAAAAGTCTAAATTACATATATGACTAACATATTTCTGTTGGACAGTGCCACATGAGACTTCCGCCCATTTCAATTTCCTTCCATAGAGGGCGTCCTGAGCAGCGCGGGATAGGGCAGCAGGAAGACAGAGCTTTAGAGACTAGAAGTTTTGGCACACGGATTCTCTAGCGCCTATGGCAGCTGGAGCAACCTAGTGGATGCTGGGAAATACGAGTGTGTTGTTCAGAAGAGAGGTCTGAGCTGGAGTCAAAGCTTTGGAAATCCTTGCCCTGTGAGTAGATAGAGAATAGAGCAGACAGCTGAAGAGGGGGCTTGGGGACAGCATTTGAGGACTATGCCTTTGAGGTGGATCTACTGAAGAAGAGTGTGAGAGACAGAACTCTAATATAGTGTGTGGAGCCCCAGAGAGGGAGAACTCAAGGATAAAATGGTTGGCAGTACCTTAAAGTGACCCTATACACTTCTCCTTTCTCTTAGCTCCCAAGATTTGACTAGTCACCAAACTCTATGTCCCCCTATTTCTCAGAACCACACTGTTTAAAGCTATCTGTTTGTGTATCTGTTTCCTCCCACTAGACTGTAAGTTCAAGGGCAAGGACATTGTTGCCCTTGTTATCCCAAGATCTAACACAGTGCTGACATTTAGGAGGTGCTCAATAATTGCATGTGGACCAGAACTGCTTTCTCAGTAGATGAGTCTGAGCTTGGGATTTACAAAAGATTAAGACTGAACGAAGATAGTAGTAACTTCAGCTAAGGAGTAATGTAAACAGAGTCAGTGACCATACTGACAGATCTGAAAGCCACCTTGCTGTTAGCTGCATTCAGATCCTTACTGGTCTTATCTAGGTGGCAGCCTCCAGAGGAGAGCCACCCCACATCAGAGGATCCCTGTGATAACACTCCTTCACGCCCTCAGTTCATTCAACCAGCTCTTCAGCTCTAGGGTTCTGTTCCATTTCTCTAGAATGTGATGACCAGTACAATCTCACTTTGCTGCACTAGAAACCATAACCATGATGGACATAAAGAAAATAATCTTGAAAGTCATTTTTGGCAAATGATAAAACATTCAATATTTCTCTAATTATTACTATGGGATGTGGAAAAATAAGGAGGTGCACAGGAAGAGCTAGAGAAAAGCAGGAATTTAACCCTCAAAACTACAGTTCCAAATACCCCAGGATTTGGAATGCTTAATTATAAATCAGCCCTAGGTTCCTCCCCTAGAGATGCCAAGATAGCCGAAAATCTGAAAGCAAGATGAAGCTTCCAAAACAGCCTAACCAAAGACCCTGTAACATTGTAGAACCACTTAAAATATATAGGTAGAAGCTTTCCAATCCTCTCTAATCCTATGTCCTTTCTTCCCCTACCAAAAACTTTTTTCTGATTTTTTTACTTAAAAGTGTAAGTCTTATATACATTCTTATTCACCTTGTTGCATATATATGAGACATGACTTGAAAGGAGAGGAAAGCATCCATCTTCACCTGCTCACTGTTTCTATGGTGGACTCCTGGATGCTCCAGCACCTCTAGCTTGCACCTTCTGCCACAGTCTGCACTATCCGGCCATTCAGAGGTAGGACCTTGTTGTCCTCTCTTCCTAACACTGCTTCTACCTAGCTCTTCCCTCATCCTTCCCCTAGAAGCCTGACAGAAGCTGCAGGAAACTGGAGGAGGTTAGGAAGAGGGAGGGGGACAAGGGAAGAACAGTCATACCGAGTATGTCTGCTTGGCTGAATTGAGAGGGGAAATGCTCAGGACTCTGGTAGCCTGGGATAAGTCTGCCAATGCAGAAATGTCCTCTGGACAATCCTGATTTTGTTCATTCTACCCCGCACTGCCTCTACTGCCTATATTCCATCCCTCACTCTTCTGGGCCTCACACTTCTCCCCCAAGACAAGGACCATATCATCTATTTCCACAGCATCTAGTATTTTCCACTGTGCACAGGGGTACTTGACGATTATAACCTTTGAGGAGGAAACATAGGAGGTGGGGACAATAGTCTCAATCCATTTTTTCTAAAGCTCCATTCTGGAAATTAGGGCAAGGTAATAAAGGCTGGTGCTGGAGAAAGCTAGGGGCATTCTGGAACCTGAATATAAGCCTGGGTGGACAGTCAGGTGGTATGCATCAGTGCAGCACAAAGGAGTCTCAGAACTGATCACTACCCTGTTAAATATTTATAATACTACCCCTACTTATAGCCATGGTGGTGTGGTCTCTAACATATTCACTAGAAATCCATAAATGTTGCTGTCGATGGCCCCTGAGAAAGCAAAGATTTGCCAGATGCCAGAGTCTGCTCCCCAGCCACCTGTGCCTTAACCCTAACGCTGATCAGCTCTTCCCTGAAGTCATCCCATCCTAGGTCAAAGGCAGGTCCAGTTTCACAATGGCTCCAGGAGCCTGAACAGAGAGCAAGACCCTTGGGGAGTTCAATCAAACACTGAAGACCATGGCCTCCATCTGGAAGAGACTTAGTTTAGTAGAAAGATAAACTGAAACTGTATGAAATGAAAGGAAATAAGGAAAACATTGAGATGTTTTAAAATAAAGCACTCATTTTCCAATAAAGATGGCAGATGGAACACAAATATTTAACTTCCACCCCCTCACTGAAACCCCACTGAAATGTAAAGGATTTTTGGGGGGTGGTGGGGTTATTATTATTTTTAAGTATAAACTGTAAGAAAAGAGAGAAAAGTTCACAGCAACAAATTTTGAAAACTGGAAAACAAAGGCCCAGTGTTAATTTGGAAAACAAAATCCGAATTATAGAAAGCCAAGAAGCAATAAAATTTACCCTAAATAACCCCTAAAGTTTCAGGAACTGGAAGATTTAGGGCTGGAGATGGGGTTTTACACAGCAAGGTCAGTTGAAAGTTTGTTTAAGAAACAAACATCTACATAGTCAGGCAGCTGCCTGTCCACTAAGGAAGCCTGGAGCTTTGTTCCCTGGAGAAGATAAAACAGGATGAGGAGAAGGTGGTAAATGCCTACATGCTGAATAGTGAGTAATCTTTCATATTTGAAGTTTGTTAAGTACAATTAAACTAAAATCTACTAATAAAAAAGATAATAGTTACACAGAATACAGTGCAAGTCCCACAATCCCTAACCAGGATCTTTGAGGTCAGATATGTTTCAGAATTTGGAAAGTTCTGAGTGGGGTCTAGGGCAGCCCCTGGTAATTAAACACATTAATATTTCTGCAGTGAAATGTCTGAATAGTCACACTAAGTGGGATAAAAAGGAAGTAAAATCAGCCTCTCTGTTTGGGTCAAGTTTTGCTGTCAACTTAGTTTTAATGCCAAACATTTAAGAAACAAAACAAAACAAAAATAACTATTGGTTTTCAGAGTGTTTTGGACTTCAGAATTCTAGAAATGGAATCGTGGCCCCATACTTGGATATAGGGCCTACCCTTCTATTATGATGCAATTTTTAAAATAAGCTACTCAAGTTTTCTGTGCCTTATTTTCTTCATAAAATAAAGTATGGCAAAGATCTTTAAAATTATAGAATAGAATGTTCAAGTTGTTACCTCTTTTGCTGAGTTTTTTTTTTTTATTAGTATTCGGGTAACTGATCAAGAATGGTTGAACAGATTATTCAAACCAATTTTGGTATCCAACGAGTGGATGATCCTCTAGGTTGGCGCTGAGCACTCTTTCTGGATGAGTACGATCTTCAACAGTACCAGAGACGGAGAATTCAACTACAAACAAACACAAGCCTGGACAAGCCCAGACAAAATGGTGACGTGAGCGGAGTTTGATGTCGGTTTCCCAGGCTCTTAACCTACTTATACCACATCCCCCCACTCCACCCCCACCCCTGGCATCTAGGATCTCACACTGTCCCACAGCCTCCACATCCTGCCTTGTCCCGCCTCATTCAAGAGCCTGTCCTCCTGACTTTGCCCAACCACCTATCTCTCAATCAAAACCTGTTCTATGTCCAGCTATTTATGTTATAAAGTTAACAATAAATACACTAATTAGTGCAAATGTGTTAAGTTTATTTAGTCAATATGTTGTTCTCCTGGATAACACAATTACTATTCTGCCAGGGGCATTTCAAAGACAGTGCTGTAACCAACAAAAGTACTTAGGGGAAGGGAATTAACCCTCCTTACAAAGAGCCTATTATTTGTCTGGTACTATGCTAAGAAATCTGTACAAGTTATTTCATTTACTCCTTTTTTAATACCCCCATGACAGGCTGCTATTATAAACTTATTTTTCTACAGGTGAAGAAACTGAGGACCTGAGAGGGTAATTTGTTTAAGGTCACACAACCAGTCAGCAGTAGCTTCAAGATGGGAACCCATTCTCTTTCCAGCACTCCACCCTACCTCCTTAAAGGAGTATGTATGTATATATGTATATATGTGTATATATATATATATATATATATATATATATATATATACACACACACATATATATATACACACCCTGGCGACCAGCAGAAAAAGGATCTTGAAAGAGGCAAGGATTTGAGGCTCCCAGAGCAACCACATTCTCCTGCTATTTCTCTCTTTCTAAATTTCTATTTACCCCTTGATGCCTACTGATCATTATGCCAAACACAAAACTTGGAGGCCCATTCTCATAATAATTATAGAAAATCTGTAGATAGCTTTCAACACTCATAAAATTCCCCAACAAGAGAAGACTAATAACTAGGGATGACTGCTCTGGGAGGTTCACAGAGGGCAGTTAGTTTAGCACGAATGTAGAAGATGAACATAAAAAATCAAAAGTATGGTCCAGAACGTGCCCTTGACACAAAATTAGCAGATAGAAGTTTAGCATATAGAAGAGACTCCAGAATTGGCTACAGCCAAATATATCCATGCTTGTTGCATGTTGCTTATACTGGTGTCACACTGAGGGGAAGGGAAAATACTCCCTTCCTAACTTTAATCCCAATATAAACTCCATGAGAATACTCAGTAAGTATTTGTTGAACAAATATATGAATTTCTTCACCTCCTTTCTCAGGAATTCCTTATAGCCTCTTATCTCTTCCACTACTGTATTGACGTCACATTTCCTAGTGGTCCCTCCAAGCCTCTAGACTCTTCTCCCAAATCTTTAGTACTTCCCCTTCTTCTTTAAGCAGAAACATGTTGAAAACAAAGAAAACTATTTTTACGGGGTATATGTGTATTTCTAATTAGTTGAGAAATGGAAACACAGAATACTCTTAGAAATAAGAGTTACAATGAAAAGAGAAAACATATGGCAAATGCAGAGTACATTCAATTCTTATCAAATGCAGACACACATATAATGAAATCACAGCAGCTGTGTTTATTTCATAATTTAGGCATTTGGAAAAAAGTGCAATGTGTTTATTTTAATGTCAGGTTGATGTCAAGTTTAAAACATAACATGGGTTTGTCTGTATGTTTTACCCCTTTTCCTAGAGAATCTTCTAATATTTAAATATAACCTATATTCTTAAATTCCCAGCCTTTATCACATATCAATCTAGGGGCTGGGGGCAGAGAGTAAGGGGGAGGAAACTCCTCATAAACTGTGTGTTGACCAAATACTCTAAAATACATTCTAACCAATAAAGTCGGGAAATAAATTTGGTAGCAACATTCTGAGCTTTGTTGTATTTCACAAAAAGATCTACATTTAAAGGAAATAAAAACATTACATGTGCAATAGCACACAGGGTTGCCATGGTAACAGACTACAAGTTTTTTATATTGACTCTTCAATTGTAGTACATATGAGCTATTAGAAACAAATAATGTCAACATCCATTTTCTTCTGATCATATAGTGGTCTCCAGAATAAGCTGTACTTACAGTTCAAGGAATTCTCATTTTTTTAAACAAATCTTCTTCTGTCTTTTCTAGAAATTATAATTAAAATACATATAATAACGATTAATATTTGGCATTGGGGTTAGGTTTGCAACATCATTTAACTCATGTAGGGACACTCCCAAAATGAGAAAAGAAACATGATAGCCACAAACGTCAATTTAAACAGTTAAAATACTGAAGTGTGTGTGTGTGTGTGTGCTTAGGTAAAATAAGATCTCCATGGGAACAAGGAAAAATAAGAAGTTTTAAAAAAAGGATTTGGTTTTACTACCTGGGCACACAAACAAATCTACTTTTCCCACAGCTGTGCTTATATGAACAGTTAAGAAATACCTACTTTCCTGAACTATATAATTCTATAATGTTTCACTAAACCTTAACTTTACTACTTATTTCAAAATGGACCCCTAACATTGCACATTTAAATCACTATGAACTAATGTTACAAAAAATCCCAGCCGCTCTTTCCTCATTAGGTTATATAGAGTACTGGCTTTTCCAGAGTTTCTGTTACCTTTCTAACTTTCCCAGCCAGTCCTCCTCCAGCTAACTGGAAAATTAATAGCCTGTCAGAACATTCATAGACCACCAGAACATACCAATAAGGAGGAGCTTCCAAGTCAAGTAAATATGTGTCTAATCTGAAGCTGTTACTCTACAAAATAAGACTGAGGACTGGACAGGAGAAAGATGTAAAGGAGAATAAATGACTCTCCTAAAAGTCACCACAGTGGGCGCTTATACTAGCTTACACTATAACAAAGTTAGGGAATTAAACACAACTTTCTCTTTGAGACTAATTGAAAGAAACATGTATGTATTATCCACCAGCTACATACATTCTTTTCTCTAATTTAATATGAGATGTAGCCCTTCATGTTACATTTGATGAACAAGTTTTCTCCAATTCTTTTTTCTTAAGAAACCAGTTAGAGGGCATTATGCTGCATGGAGTAAGTCAGATAAAGAAATAGTGTATGACATCACTTATATGTGGAATCTAAAAAAGCAACAAAACTAGTGAATAAAGCAAAAAAGAAGCAGATCCACAGATACAGAGAACAAACTAGTGGTCATTAGTGGCCAGGAGGGGCAATATAGGAGTGGGGAAGTGGAAGGTACAAACCACTGGGTCTAAGATAAGCTCAAGGATGTTATACACAACATAGGGAATATCAGTATTTTGTAATAGCTTTCAATGAAATGTAACCTTTTAAAAATCATATTAAATTTTTAAAAAAATTTTAAAACAAAGAAACCAGTTAGAGAAGGTCTTCTTTGAAAGAGATAAGAATGTACCTCTACTGATGTTTTCCATTGCAAATAGATCATCTTCAGTGTCTTCCAGTCAAGGGGAACCACACAGTCAAAAGGCAACAAAGATTCTGTGAAAAAACAGAGAATAAATTTCATTTATAATGTCATACAGTTTTTTACCTTAACTGTTAAGATATGCAAACATGATATCAAGACCACCATAATGATAAAAGCCTGGTTTTGAAGATATTTCAGTGACAGTTAAGGCAGGAGTTGTTTGTCTCAGACCTCTATTACTATCCAGACTCAATAAAAATGCTTATGTGTATATGTAAAGTGATGTGTATCATAGTTGATATTCTCAAGTAAGTAAATACATATATATACACATCAGTGGCTTCAAGTGGTACTGCCACAGGGCATAGAATACAGGTAGTCATCCCTTCCTGTGACATGTATAAACACTGCAACTACAGCAAGTTTAGTTTTGCAAATTACTTCTTCCATATTAGTGTCTGGGGGAGAAATGCTTACATACAATTACGATGCTCATAAGCAAGTCTACACATTGATCTATACACATCAGCCATACAAACCATACAAAATATCTTTCCTATACTCACATATCTCTAGCAACATAGGTAGTTTGGTTTCTTCAGGTCTATGTATGACTCTACTTTATCACCTCACTGTGTTTGCAAAGTTTCTATAACTAGAATTCATTCAAGTTCCCTGTCTTATTTACAAGGCCATAGATTTACCAGAGCTTCACTTGTCCAATCTAGCCAAATTGGTTTACAGCCTCCACTTAGTTTTCTCCTCTCCTTTTTTAAGCACACACTGCTTCCAAATGTGAAATTCTTTCCCTCTTTTTCTTCTAAGCCACATTTATATAAGCACTGGTTATAATTCATTTCCATTTGGAGCCATCCTACATAAAACTATATAACCCTATATTTTCAACAATTCCTTTAGCATGGCTAACCTCATTCATAAAATATTCATGATTGTCATTTATATTTTCCATGTGCAATAATTTTTTCTGTTAGTCTTGTCTCCCTATTTAGAAGGTAAACTATTTGATGAATGAGGTCTATTTCCTCTAAAACGCTTTCTAAAGCCTAATTAATGGATGCTGGACTATTATTGTTGATTATTATGGTGTTGTGCATTCAAGGGAGGAGGTTTAGAATCCTTTCCCATTAGTGACTTCATGCTTTCTAGTGGTGATGTAAGGCAGTGGTTGTTAATATTTTGGGGTCATGGACATCCCTGAGCTGATAAAATCTATGGATTTTCTCCCTAGCAAAATGGCATAAAATGACACAAAAAGTTTCCTACAATTTCAGAATATGGATTTTGGACAAAGATCCCTGTCCTAAAATGACTTCCATTATCTTGTTAAATTCTTCAAAGCAAGTCCATTTTAATTTTTTTTAATTGGTATGTTTCTTCATTGCATGTAGAAGGATGGAAAATCGCAGCAAACAGTTAAGATGTGATTATTCACAAAGTTTACAAAAATGATAAACATGATGACATAGCAGGTTGATAGCTGTGACTCCCCTGACCCTGAGACTTAGCCAATCTTGGGTCAGAGCTAAGTGGACCAAGTTTGCCCGTAACGGAAGAAGTTTAGGAACAAAGTAAAAAAAACTCTGGAAGAGAAGCTGTTAGAGAAGCCTAGGGTCCCTGGTAGTTACAGAAAAATATATACATAAATCAGGAAGATACAGGATGTAGGACTAGAGCTTTACTTCTTCTTGGCTCTTAGAGCTTCTGTCCCCAAAGAAGGAGACACAATGCAATTGCATGAAATCATCAACACATGCAATTGACTTACAGATAAGGAAAGGCTGGGATATGTGTTCCACTTCCTCTTTAAGATATTTAGCATCTTAAATAGGCATATTATTTAGAAGAAATTTACTTAGAATTTTACTTAGAATTATTTTTTAAATTTTTTCACTTTTTAAATTCACAGGTGGATTTTTCACTTCCAAAAACAACAATCTTAAGAGCCCCAAAGAAGCTTTCAAGTCAGCCAGTCAGATTCCTTCCTAAAAGCCATGTGCCAAATAAGGAAAATGTAGAAAGCAGAAAGATTTTTTTTTACAAAAGCAGTCCATCTCTATTTGTTACATAACCACTGCCTGTCTCATTCTTCATTCGTCCCACTATTTAAACTGTGAGTCCACATATTCAATGTGCTCAAAGACATTTCAGACTGCTGGTTGTGGAGGCAGGGGCTGGGAGGCATGACTTCATCAAGTACCATTTGCTGAGTCCTCCCATCCACTGAAAAGCATCACAAGATCAATTAACTGCATGAAATCACTAACACGAGGTAGAAACACCTCAAAAATTATGAACATACGTTAAATCAGACTTTTTATTTGTAGCAAATAAACACAATTTACCCACTGGAACTCCAGGAGATCCAAAAAGCTTTACTAGTTGAAAGGCAAACCTTTGTGATAGTGGTAGCTCAAGGGAATCAAAGCAGTCAGGGCTTGTTAAATCTTGGTTATCCTCAGTTTGTAAGAACTGTAATGACTTAGGTTCTTCCCACGTCTTCAGCTTTTTACCAAAACTTTCAGTTAAATAGTGAACATCAGAAGTGACACTAAAAGAGTACAACGTATCAGGGTGGCTACTTAAAATTTCTGAAGTAACCCTTACATCATTTAGTTTATCACCTACTCTTGTCTGAGAGCTGAAAGTCAATAATGGTTTCTTGCTTGTAAAAGGTATCTTCCAAAAGCTAGATGTATATTGGGGCATAAGAGAAGTAACGGGGTTTTTGTAAAAATATACTGAGTGCCTTAGTCTGGTAAATGGCAGGTAATGAGAATAAAATTGTCTACCAACATTTAGAGGAGTATCTTTGACAATATCAAAGTAAAACCATGATGGATGATGACTGAAGGTCGTAAGTTTTTTCTTAATCTCTTCTTCATTATTTATTTCTGAAATTCTATCATTTTCTTCTTTCAAAGTAATTTTTAATCCATGGCTTTCTGTTAACAAGCTGTACTGCCCCCTTTCTTTTACACTGATATGTATCTGTCCCAGTAAGTTAAAGTTCGGTGCCAAACTGAAAATCCTCTTCTGCCTCCTTTTTTTATTTGTGGAGTGAAAGGCACTCTTCATGATATCCAGCTTAAGGAAGCAGCTTCTAAAGATGTTTGTCTCTGTTTCTATGACAGGATCTATATTCTCAGTTGGAGGTGACAAATCTTCATTTTCTATCAATTGCTTCTCTGCTATCAATGCTTCTGGACTGCTTCCTGGTCCTGATGCTCCTTCAGAAGTGGAGATCAATTTAATCAATTGCCCCTTGCTGTCAGGACAGGCTACCTTTCGCCATCTATCTTTCTTTGGTCTCTGCTCACATATAAACTTATGAGGTCCCTCAGGCCAGCTATCACAATAGGGTTGTCTTTCAGAGCCCAGTTGTAATTCTTCATCAGATAAATCATTTGAGAAAAAAGCCCAGTAATTGTTTCTAGTTGTATTTACTCCTTGTTCCTTTGGTAAAACTTTATCTGAAGTTCGAGATCCATGTTGATCGCACAGAATTGTTTCATTCAGAAGACTCTTATCTATCACCTCTCTCTTCTGCATAAGTGAGTGTGGGGTTTCAACAAATCGGTCCTGGACGTCTGATGCCGTGATCTCTCTATTTCCAGTATGCTTTTCTACCTTTGTGCCAGAGCAGTCATCACTTGCTTCACAGGAAAGATTTTGAGTCTCTTTTGGACAGGAAACAGAGCTTTCATCGGGCATCAATGACAAACTTAGAAACAAGTCATCAGCTTTCTTAGGCAGGTAATTCTTTGCTGTATCGTCCAACTCAACTACAGACATAACTTTTGGCAAAGTGTTTTCAGAATTTATGTTTTCCTGTCTTTCATCTTTCTGGCCATTTCTGAAATGTCCTACTTCACGTCTCAGACCTCCAGTGAAGGAACATTCTGCTTCTCTTTTGGTCTCTTCTAAGTCTTCCTCTTCACTCTGAGATGGGTCCTGATCTTCTGATGTAAGATAACTTAAGGTTTCAAATGAGTTTTCATCCATGATTTTACTATGACTGCTCTTCTTTTTATTTCTTCTTCTGTTTCTTTTCTGTTTGGTTTTGTTGAGTCTGTGCCCAGTTTTGTTCAAATCCCTTTCTCTGAAATATAAAAGAATTAAGAAATTCATAACTTAATTACTTGTATAACAGCAACAAACTAAAACATTATACTCAGTTTTAGGTTTACAGATTGTTAGTACGAGAGTGTGTGTGTACTTTGTACTATATTTTAAAATCACTTTTTAAAAGAGATATACTTTATTTCTCTAAAATGAGTACACTTTGAGAAAGTTACAACTCATTTTCACATACTTATTTCATAAACCAATAACTTTGTGAAAACCCAGTATTTATATATATGTAAAATTTTTTATTTATGTATAGAAAACCTACCAATAAACATCTTGGTTTTCCTAACATTTTGAATTTTGAAAAGTGAAAAGTGACAGGTATAGTCTAAATGGCACAGTTTTAGTGGCTCAAATAGCTAGGACTTCTCTAGACATAAAAATTTTGGCAATTAACATTTGCAGCAAAATGGATGGACCTAGAGATGATCATACTAAGTGAAGTTAGAGAGAGAAAGACAAATATTATATGATACTGTTTTTTTTTTAAATTAAAAAAATGGGGGCGATAATTAGGTTTTAATATTTATTCATTTTTAGAGGAGGTACTGGGGATTGAACCCACCACCCTGTGTATGCTAAGCATGTGCTCTACCACTTGAGCTATACACTCCCCCCAATATGATATTGTTTATATGTGGAATCTAAAATGTGATACAAAGGAATTTATTTACAAAGCAGAAACAGACTCACAGACATAGAAACCAAATTTATGTTTACCAAAAGGGAAAGAAATGGGAGGGACAAATTAGGAGTTTGGGATTAGCAGATACACAGTACTATATATAAAATAAACAAACAACCAGGTCCTACTGTATAGCACAGGGAACTATATTCAATATTTTGTAATAAACTATAATGGAAAAGAATCTGAAAAGGAATATACATATATATATATATATATATGTATGTATATACACACACACACACACACACACACCACGGGGGGGGGGGGGAGAAAGAAAGAGAACTAAATCACTTTGTTATACACCAGAAACTAACACAATATTGTAAATTAACTACACTTCAATTAAAAAAAAACTTTTGGCAATTAAGTTGCCCCATCAAATTATAAAGAACAGTTGATGATGAGGAGCCAAGGCCAGTATTGAGGTGATAATGCTTCCAACTGCCTAGCTAGCAGTGGTTCTAAACCAGAGGCTCTACCACTACCTTATAGGGTGTTTGGAAATGTGTGAAGGCATTTCTGGTGGTCTCAATGGCTGGCACTTGGTACTGAGGCCAAGGATGTTAACCATCCTGCAATGCCGGAGACTGTTCTACAGTGAAGACTCATCCCATACAAAAAAGCAATCGTGCTTTCATCAAGCACAGGAAAAGTACACAGTGCCCCTTGATTGAAGGCAATCTTTGATCCCGAGAGAAAAAGGATTTAGGATATTTTCTAATTTAGAATCTAAAGGTTTAGTTACATTTTCTTTCACAAGATACAGATGAAAACAGTAAAATACAGTGGGGGAGGACAATAGATACAGCTGAGGGAAAAACAAAACCAGGACAGAGAAATAGGAAAACAATTAAACAAGCAAACAAACACAGAAACACAGAGATTATTAAAACTACCCTAGCCTCTGGCCTGGTTTATTCCATCCCATGCTGCTAGGCTACTTTCAATAGGTAGGAGTCCTGAAGGTCTTGTTCTTCGTCATTTAATTGCTGTTGCCCTTGTTTACATATCTTCTTGGATGTTGGTTTAGAAAGAACATTAAGGTTGTAAATCAACCATACTTCAACTAAAAATAAATTTGAATTTTTTGAAAAAGAAAAAAAACCATTAAGGAACAGTAAATTACTGAGAAGCAATTAAGATGTGGCTTCTATAAAAACGATAAGGAGAAACAAGAGGTTTATACTATATAGCACAGGGAGATATCTTATAGTAACTTATGGTTAAAAAGAATATGAAAATGAATATATGTATGTCCC